AAAAAAAAAAAAAAAAATCTATAAATATCATCAAAGAAAAAGGAAAGGTGAAACATCAAATACAAAGTAATTTAAAAATGATTTTGTAGGGATGATATGCTAACCATGAGAGTTGCATTTAACTGCAACTTAAAGAAAACCAATAGATATTTAAAATCTTAAGGTGCTATTTATATTTTTTACAAGTATAGGGTGCTCATTAGAAATTTTTCAAAAGACCAGGGGGGCTGTGGCCCCTCCTGGTCTATATTTGGTTCTGCCACTGCCTCCTATTTAGATCCTTACAATGACAAGTGAGAGTTTTTTCCCTTTTTCCCCCTTTCTTCTTTTTACTTTTACCAGTTCAAGCACTCATTCTAACTGTGTATAATATAAATGCAGGCAACACTGCAACCCACATACCTTGTTGCTAATGAGCCAGATGATGACAATATCTTACGGACACGTACATATGATGTTAGCATCACGTATGATGATATATCACTAACTTTTTGCACTTATAAAGACTTCTGTGACATGCACGCATGTTTTCACTTCAATATTCTTACAAGCCAATAGTTATCCTTCATCATGTGATCACTTTTAACATTCTACTTTTGCCTCATAATCCAGCTATGACAAATACTATCAGACTCCTCGTGTCTGGCTTACTGGTTATGATGAGGTATCTATGGATCATCTTCTCACTTCCTAGGGTGCTAAAATTTTATCTTGCTAGCTTTTGAGGATCATAGATGATTCTAATTGGCAGAAATTCTTATTATTAGGGAGTTACTTTTCATCTCACACTTGTTGAACTAATTGATTTCTCTGTGAACTGGTTTGTAGTCAAGGATGCTTTTACAACCAGAGCTTGTGCTGGAAGATGTTAGTCAGGACCATGCGCATAAAACGGTACCCTTTCTAGATTTATGTAAACCAGGTTTCTGTATTTTATTAGTGCAAAGTGATTGCTGCTTTTCTTCTCTCTCCAGTCTATGTTGTCAAGCAATTTCCAATTTATTTGAGTTATCTAATACTTCCATTAGTTACAATCTACCAGCCAGATTTACTTTTGACTATAATTCAAGTACTCCCTTCCAACTCAAATATGGGTGTGACACATCTTGCTATACCTTTTGGAGTTATCAATGAGTTGGAAATGAACTCCTATCTTAATTTCTAATTTTCTCCTTTGTTTTAATGTTGCCAGTCTCTGTACACGTGCAATTTCATATGTGCATTTTCCTGAGGGTGTAAATGTAATGCAATTTTTTACTTTTAATAACAGTTACATTGTTGTTAATTACTGGGATACAGGTTACCATTGAGGATCATCCCCACTTACCTGGGAAGCATGCTTCTGTTCATCCATGTCGTCATGGGGCTGTGATGAAGAAGATCATTGATGTTCTGATGTCACGTGGTGTGGAACCGGAAGTTGACAAGTAATCCTATCTCTCTCAAGATTTACCAACTCTTCATTTGACCCCTTTTTTCTTTTTTTCATTGGAGGGAACATTCACGGATTAATATATGCTAGTTTTATTTTCACAACTCTATCTGAATTGAACAATGATAGAGTTTTAAGAGGCCAATATATAAGCAGATTCTCTTACTACCTGCACGTGCATGCTTATGTGTATATATAGATGTGAGTGAATATTATTACATATTAAATAACCATTTCCTTGTAGTTTTAGATGGTTGACTATGTCTGATACTATGGGAACTAGGAACTGTAGTTTCACTCTTACTAGGTAGCAGGCTATCAGTTAATGAATTATTTGCTTGACAGTGTTGTTCTGGAATTTTTGCTAAGCATTTCTGTCTTGTACTGTTACAGGTACCTTTTCTTATTCTTGAAATTTGTTGCGTCTGTGATTCCAACAATTGAGTATGACTACACTATGGACTTTGATCTTGGAAGCTCTAGCAATTAATTCAAGGTAAATAACAAAAGAAGAATTTTTTTTTTTTGGGCAGTCTTAGAACATGACGCATTTGCTCAATTTTTCATTTTCAATGGTAAGAAAAGAATTTATCACGAGGACTAAACTAAACCCCAGATGGGGGGTTGGCCTGGGGCTATCCCCGTAACCAAGGGTCCCTTTTTTATGGTCCAGTACAGACGGCACTGGACTGTAACAAAGGGAACTCTTAAATATATTACTGAAAAACTTTCTTGGTATTGGTTGAAACTCTCAGTCAGATGATATTTCATCATTTTATTCAAAATCAGTTAGGGGTAAAGAATAATTACATTAGGATGTTATCTTTCTCAATTTGTGTCTGATATCCTGCGCTGCTTCACCTTATTATGTGGTAGGATGCAGATATTGTCTTATTTAGTCAAGTGATAATTTCCTATTCCATATCATCCAATGGTTTAGCTTCTTCGGTGGTACTACTAGCTTTAAAAAGATGCATGCTGCATGCACAAGGTCAACAGAAACACTGATAATACTGGAACTGCATGATCTGATACTTGGTGTTCATAACCACTCAGGTACACAATACTTGTACATACAACCCTAAATGTTTATCTCGTGATGGTTCTCTATGAATGTCGGTGTTTATGGAGAGACTGGAATGCTGCACCTGTGGTTCGGCTGATCAGACATTAAAGTCTGTTGATAACCATTGCACTGCCTGTCAATGATGCTCTGCCGGACTATGATGAATTTACTACCTGTTTATTGTTTAATATACTTGTATAGACATTTCTTCCGTTTACTGTAATTACTGATGTTTGTATGAACTATAAAGTATGAATGGTGCTACACTGCTACCTTTTCATCTTTTTATATATTTATTATTATTATTATTATTATTATTATTGGTTCTATCGGGGGCAGGTTGTGGATATATTGACGGGTAACTAGGTATATTACCTTTATTTGGTGCTGAAATTTGTTGGGTCATAGTCTGCATGGTTCGGCAGCCAAATGAGTTATAAGATGGCGGGCCTTATAGGAGTTCGGGTGGCAATGGCATTCTCTTGACGGGCTAAGTAGGCTGTTCTTTGGGCTGGAGGGTAATATATGGGCTCCAACGAGTGGGTTCACGATAAACATATTGAACAGACAGGGCCCAAGGAAAACCATGGGCCCGAGTAGCCCTTTATAAGGAGGGTGGTTGTTCTGGACAAAATAGACGAACGGGCTGAAATGAAAACCATGGGCTCAACATTGGCCAACTATTTGGGCCATAAATATAATGGGTCTAAGTGGGCAGCAAAATTGGGCAAAAAATTAATGGGTCGTTAGGCGGATTAGGCCTAAAAAAGTAATTGGGCTCCAAGTTGATTGCAATTTGGGCAAGATAAAAATATTTGGGCTGAAGAATTAATGGGCCCATGTCTAGCAGATTTGGGCTGAAAAAAGGAATTGGCCCAAGTTGACGTCAATTTGGGCTGGATAACAACCTATGGGCCCAAGTTGAAATGAATTTGGGCCGGATAAATAGTGGGCCCAAGTTGACCTCGGTTGGGCTTGAGAAATTATTTTATTTGGGCCGATGTTATCAGCAATATGGGCCGGTTAAAAACCTATGGGCTTATGTCGACCTAGATTTGGGCCCAGGAGAAAAAGTAAATGGGCCCACGTTGGCATGCGTTTGGGCCGAGATAAATAGTTGGACCCAAGTTGACCCTATGTTGGGTTTGAAAATTTGTTTTAATGGGCCAATGCTATCAGAAATACGGGCAGGATTAAAAGTATATCTGGACCCATGTTGACCTATATGGGCCTACGAAAAATATGGACTCTAATTCTGCACTGGTTTGGCTCGAAAACGCATTTGAGCCCTAGTTTAACTACCGGATTATGCCAGAATCGATTCCAACCCAAAGATATAATACGCGCACCAGAAAGCCGCTTTTTAGTCTACAGAGGGCCCCGTCAATTGGGCCAAACATCTTACGGGAAAAAATGTTCATTGATTTTTTTGGAAGGACCTATATAATTTTCATTTTCCTCTACTGTTTTTTTTTTTTTAATGGTACATATCTTTCTCTATTGTCTATATAATTAACCGCAAAGGCAAGCGGTATTTATGGTTAATCATATTTATCCCCTTTTTTTTTTGGACCCATCATTCATCCATTTCCTTTTGCCGCATCTTAAACTTTTCCCCTCAAAGAAACAAAGTATAATATTAAGAATAAGTTGGAATTACACGATTCTGCACTAATAAGTTCTCCATTGAGCGGAAACAAATGGTTACCTGCAACGTCACAGCCACAGCTTATCCCCTCTATAATAAAACAGATGACATATGGTTAGGATAATATACCAATCAGTAAATCCATAGTGTTTGTTTCATGCTAACTCAAAATCAAACATGGCAGCTGCAAATCAAACAGAAACATGTCTTAATAATACATCTATGTAAATAGGCCACTAATTCCTGCAACCTGTTTCCATTGCGTGTACACAAGTGCCAGCCTTGCTCATGAGCAGTACTAGTATGTCCACAAATGCCATTACCAAGTATATCAGATGCAAACTATAAGTAAAAGACAGCTTAATTAAATAATAGAAATGAAAAGTGATGCAACGTCCTGACATAAGGAATAAAGAGAAAGAAATAAGAAAAACAGTGTGCTCTAAGGAACTATGGAACCAATATGCCATTAATACTACAGGTATTTTCAGCTGAGTGAAAATCGGTGGACAATTGTTGGAACTGAATTTTGTTTCACCAAGCCAGGATACTGTGTTATTATTATAATTATTATTAGTAAAGGCCTAGCATGATAAAATTTTATTTCACTACATAATCACAAAAAATAATAAATCAAGAGACTACAATGGCTCCAATCAGTTAAATGAAGAAGCAAACATTATTGCCGCATTGAAATTTAGTGAAACCAACTATTTGAAAACATAGAAGCAAACCTAAGATGATTTTGCACAGGGTAGGTGGACAGAAATTTAAGGTTCCTGCCATCATTAGTTCTCAGCAATTCTCTCAATAATGATACATAAAGAAACTGCTAGCATCCTCGTACCAAAACATATCAATGTACCTGGACCTGGAGATGCTGGCTGAGTCAATGATAAGCAGCAAATAACAGAGCTTCCCCAATTTTCAGTCAGATATAAACAGGTTTGATATCATTGGGGCCAAAACTTGAAGCACAAACTGGACACTTTCGATGTCGACTTTCTGGCGTTCTTTGTACACAAGGGCTGCAGAACAGATGGTAGCATTTGGTAATGACAACCTGAAAATGAAAAGCATAAACAACGTTTACATGATTTCAAGAACAACTATACATTAGCAGAAATAGTCCATATGATGCTAATTTAAACTTGCATGCCTACCTCTTTTGGTCTGTCAAGGCAGATACCGCACTTTAATATTTCCTTGTATTCCCTAAGTTCTTGTTGAAGCTTTTCTACAATTGATGACCCCTCTATCTGGGCCTGAAGACATGACAGTTTCCTCCTTGCCACTTCCAGCTCCTCCTCTATTCTTTTCTTGTAAAACCTTAAAGATGAGTAAAAATGGATTTAATATGGTTAATGAGGCACAAAAAAAGACTAATACAAAGTTGATGCAATGTAGTACCCTTCTTCTTCTAATTCTATCTGCAACTCAACAAGAACCCCTCGATTTTTCTCAATGTTTGATTGTGACTCCAGCAGTGATTCCCTCACTTGAAGAGATGATTTTCCAACATCTGACAATCGTTTTAGCATATGTCCCAGAGAAACTGAGTTCTGAGATCTATCTTCTGAAATCTTTTGAATCTGGTCTGAGCAAAATCTCAGCTGCAAGGGAAGCATTCATGGTTTTAAATATGCATACTCTTTTTACAATAAATTCACACAATTGGAGGATTACTCACCTGATCCTCAATTGTTGAAGCTTTCACGTCATAAAATTCAAGAGATGCACTGGCTAGCTGAATTTCCCTGCCCATGGTGCGTTTCTCCAGTAGTAGAGCTCCTTGCAGTTGTTTTGCCTTCAGCCCCTCCAAAACAAGCTGAAACATGCCAATTGGAAGTCACTAGACCAGCTTCTACAAGCTAAGATACATGTATCTTAAGAACCAAAATTTGACTTGACATTAGATATTTATCTCATTTCTTCATGTACAGATTAAGCAGTTGGTGAAAAGGTGACAACCTGAAGTCTGGATGGAACCATAGGAAGGATTTTAATTGTCTACACATGGAAGGATTTTAATCTTCTATACACTAACTATTTAAACTTTGAATGGAAAAGAACATAAAATGATATTTAAAAAATATTGAAAAATTTTTCGTTAGTAACTGGAAAAACTAATTCTGGGGCTGGCTCAGTGGCCCTGGGTTTGATCCCCATTAGCAATGAATAAGTAAATAAAATAATACAAAAGGAGAAGGTGATGTAAAAGAAAGTGATGGATGGAATAAGCTAGTTACCTTAATGTTATAGTCATCTCTCTCTGTAATTTGCAGCAAGAGATGTTGGTTTTGTGTTTGCATATCATCATATGCCTGTCCAATTGTCTGAGGAGAAAAAAAACAACCATACCAACAACCTCAACCAACTTAATGATAATTCAAGACAGAACCCATAAAAGTTTCAAAAAGAAACTAACCTCTATTTCTGATAGGTAAGCCTCATTTTCTTCATTTTTTGATCTCAAAGCATCAGAAAGCCTAGCCTTCTCCCTGGGACAGTAACATATTCAACATGTTTTAACATGCTTCTTAGGCACACAATTTTGTGATCTATGACAAATAAAAAGTTTAACAGAAAGCAAAACTGGGCTTAGAATTAGTCTACCACCAGATGCATAAATTGATCTTTGATAAATGAAAATTAGAATGGAATGCAAGAAAGCTAAACAGCAATGGCAAAATAAAGCTATACATCTCCTAGGAAAATTAGAGATATGCACCCTCAGAAGATCAAGCAAACATTAACCTTTTAGAACCCTCCAGTTTCTGTCTCAAGTCAGCAATCTCAGCTTCTGCAGCAGCCAATCTTTGCTGAGATACAGCCTCAGCTTCATTTGCTATCTTAACTCGTAATTCCAATTTTTGCTCATCAAGAGAGGATTTCAAACTTTGAACACAAGCCCATGCCTTGTACTCTGAATCTCTGGCTTCTGACACATCCCTACAATTCAGGAAAAATTCCCAAGGACCAATTTAAGAGAACCACACCTCAATTGGTTTATTCTGCTCGCAATTGCAAGATTGAGAACTCAAACATACTGAATCAGAGACTACATACTGATTGGTACAGAATATTCTTCTGAAAAGATGATTCACACTAGTAACAGATACGAAAGAAAAAAAAAAAAAAAGGCACTGCATGGAAAGAGCTTGACCACATATTGGATTCCCAGCAATTAGAGAGGCAACTAAGAGAGATTGACAAAAATAATTCTCTACATTTTAGAACTAATAATTGCAGCAAAATCAACTTAAATTAATCAAATCAGATATGAAAGTCAAAATATAATCAGCAGAAGAAAGGTTCTTCAAATAAATAATCCCACCTTGAATCAGTCAATTCACGTCTATACATATCCAAAATTAACTTCAACTCCACATCACTTTCCTTTAGTTCTTGCACCTGTAAAAAGAACAGATTTTTAATCCTTTTTTTTAATTAAAAAAAAAAAAAGGGCTAGCAAAATATTGTTGGTTCATTAGTAGGCCTCTTTCCATATAGCTTGATCAGGAAATATTTTCAAGGTAAGCTCAAAAGGCATAAAAATTGCAGCATATAAATATTTTCAATCCCCAGTGTTGCCCCCATAACACATTAGCCATTCTCTGTGATGCAAGGGCAGACCAAATAAACTCTAGACACTCAAACAACATAATAAAAAACTAGAAATTTTAAGGACCAGACGCAAATCCTAAACCTGCATTTGATTCAGTTGAGGGGTGGTCACTTCCAAGTTTGTCTCAATGTACGCAAGGAGACATCAACATATCAAATTAAAATGCAAAACTGCCAGCACATATTTAGGGGAGGAAAGTAAGGATAAAAGGGACTCCTTGGCATACTAGTAAATCAATCAACATATGCAACTACTTGCACAGCCAAGAAAATAGTCTGAATTTTCTTCTTTCTAAACCTTTTCTTATATATTTTTGGGTTCTACAATAAAAGCACATCCTACCAGAGCTGTATGATGCAATTTTTAGTCTCTAGTATCGTTTGAGGGAAAACCCCATTAACAAATATGTAAATAACCCGGAAACATGTAACTCATAATCATCAACTTTGAAATAATCAAAAGAAAATGCATTTGGAGGCTTCAACAAAACATTTGTCTTCAATACTATAGATAACATATTTCTTAAGGGAAAATATAAAAACTGTGTAAGGTCAATTCACTGATTTCCATGATCATGTTTCTATATAATTTAATTTCCAAGTCCAACACAATTAAGATGATATATAATATATATTAGAATAAAAATAGAACAACATTGGAAAATCATACCATAACTTGCAACTTATGCATCTCAGCAATTTGATCAGCACATCTTGCAGATAAATTCTTGCACTCCTTTGCCTGTTCAAGGAACAAAAATGATTTAAATCCTTTCAGCGGAAACCCCAAACATGGCCAGAAAAGTAACAGACACCAACCTTCCTATCAAGAACATTAGAGAGAGACTGCACATCAGCCCGCAGTGAATGAATATCTACAGCAGCCTCTTTGTACTTACTTAATTGACTTTGCATGGTATTCATTTCCTCAGGAAATGAGGAAAGCAAGCTTTTAAATTCTACAATTATTACTTTTCTTCCTGAAACACCAACATATTACAGCCAGATGTTTAGCATATATGCCATTAGGTACACTAGATATTGTTCAGGAAGTGCAACAATAGTCATCATACCAGGCTCTCTTGATGCCTCTTCCAGCTTAGTTTTAATTTTCTTCATTTCATCAATTTGTCTCTGTATCTCTATTCCTAGATCAGAGGCTCTAGAATCTGCAACTGCTGATGTTCTTCGGAAAACATCAACTAAATCATTTTTTATGCTCACTTCCCTCTCCCTCCAAGCAAGATTGTCTTTCTCAGACTATAATTTTTAAGGAGAACGTTAAATCAGCATCAGAATTAGATCCATTCAAAAGATTACTAAAAAGAGGTATAAAATGAAACTACCAACCAGTTACAACCTGTAGTTTCTCAAGTAAAGCTTGATACTGAAGAACTTCTGACTTTGATTTCTCTAGTTGCTCTTTCACAAAAAGGTAGGCTTGGGAAGAAGAAATAAATTTCACACTCTTTAACTTATTCTGTGAATAAAAAGATCCCATTTAATACCGAATAAGAAGAGCTGCATTTGAGAAGTAACATTAAGAAGAAATACAGGAAATATAGTTACAATGGAAAAACGAATTAAATATCAACAAACCCAAGAATAAATAAATAACCTGCAAATATGATAGTTGCTGTAATATTCTTATCCTTTCTTCATGAAGACTTTTTAGTTCCACTAACCTTGATGAAGATTGGTCCTGTTGGGCTCAGATATTAGGATATGATTGAACCGTCCAATTAAGCACTTTCACCCATACAACAGAAAAATGAAAATCACAATTATGAATTACCAATAGCTCTTTGAGAGTAGACTCCATATCTTGCAGATCTCTCTGCCTATCTTTGACCCTATCACCAGCAACATGCTTACTCCCAATATTTAAGATTGGGAAAAAAGCCCCTTTAGTTGCATCTTTTTCTGCTCTAAGAGCTGCCAGATAGCAGTTACTTTCTTCCAGTTCGGCAGCCACACCATCCAGTTCCCCTTTAAAAGATCACCCAAGGCTTAATGGTCAAACTTACAGATACTTCACTAAAATCTCATGCCAGGAAAATCAATTAGATTCAGAACATAATTTGAACAAAGCATGGATCAAAAGAGATCTGGAGGTTACACTTGGCTAATTAATAGGAAAATGGTCAATAATATAATATGTTCTCAAATATAATCAACTCAAGAATGAGCCTGCCAATGATTATAATGGGAAAAGATCAACTTGAGAAACTGCAAAATTCTCAAAATGAACATAGATTAAGAATGGTATGCTGAATTGATGAAAGATCTGATGCATGTGATGCAAACAAATTTACCAACATCAAAAGGAATGTGAAGAATAGTTTAAAAATAACAGTTTACACCAAAGAGACAAAATTTATGCACTGAGAATCTCTTATAGAAAGAAAGCTTCTGTCTTCCCATGGATGATTCTGAGAGTGGTGAACCCCACAACAATGGTTTAAATTGATAATTCATGCACATTTTCATAGTCGAGCCCATGCCAACATATACAAAGAAGGTGCATGTTTCTAAGTGCATAAAAAAAAAAAAAATCATAACAAGTCTAAACATCTATTCATATTTGCAGAAAAGATCAGTTCAGACCCCTTCAGAAAGTTACCTTTCAGTCGTTTAAGCTCCGCTTTATTCTTTGCATCAATATCTTGATGACTCTGCAATTCTCTTGCCAGAGACTTGTGCTTCAGATGAAGATCATTTATTGCCAATCTTAGAATTTTAACTTCTGATTCTAGTTCACCAGATGGCTTTTGCCTGCCAGCACCTAGTAAAAATGTTCATGCACACATGAAACTGAGGAATAAATCCATAAAAAGTGAATTCTAGGGGTGGACATCATCCAAAAGAGACTTCCATAATAAATTCTTACCACGGTCTGGAAGCTCTTTCAAAACTGCAGAATACAAACAATTCTTCAGATTCCACAGATCATTAATAGCAGCTACTATATTCATCAATATATTCCTAGCCTTTTCAGAGACTCCTTCTTCTCTGTTGTCCATAAGTGCAGGGGAATTATCGGAAGAGGAATTTTCAGTTGCACCTGTCTCAGTAAGTCTGCTGAGAAATGCAGCTTCTGCAGAAGATGGAGGCGGCACACCTATAAAGCAAGTCAAAATATTCATCTCAGATCCAAATCAGCAAACTTTATCCATCTGTCCCTGCTCCAAATATTAATTCTTTTCCTCTTACCCCAGCATGATTCCAGCAAAGTTTTGAAAAACTAGTGTACATCAAAGTTTGGATATTTTAACTCAACCTAAACAATTCATCATAACGGATCACCACAAATATTAATAATAATAACAAAAAAAAAAAAAAAAGAACAAGGCAGAAAATTCTCACCATCCACAATTGATGTAGGCCTGGCATTTTCTCTACTGCTTGACTCTTGTGCACAGATGGAACGTGATTCCAAGTCAGTAATCAGCTATGCAAAAGTGTGAAGTCAATTTCCCATCAAACCATGTAACAACTTAACACCAAATCCGAAAGATATGCACACAATTCTCTTTTCCTATTTAATGCTTTTGAAGACAAGTAAACAACCTACAATTATCAGAGATAGAAAAGCAGAAAATACAAAGTGACATCCAGGGTCTTACCCCTTCCCAAGACCTATTGACCACCTTTAAGGTAGAATCATATAGCTGTTGTTTTTCCTTCAGCTGAGATAACTTATTCTCAAGGGAAGAATGCTCAATTTTTTGAGCTTCTAACTTTTCTAGAAGCTTTTGATTCTGAAACTGCAGAACTGCTGCATCAAGCTGCATTATTCCAAGGGGAAAATCAATATAAATTGGTTATTCTAAGAATACTGAATGAGATGGCTACCTTCTAGCGGATAGATACAGTCAGGCCAAACACAGGCCTCTGTTACTATTGACTCAAACCCAAAAAGCACCTAACTATGGTACTTGTAACTATTCATGCTAGGAAATTAAAGATTCCCCAATCTAACATTCAAAAAACCAACCAGCTGCTTAAACGCAGATTAGTTCAAAAAGAAGGCATACTCCCAAAAACAACATGAACATAAAATTCCAACAGATAATAGAAGTTAATTTCACAAATCCATGATGAGCTACGCTTGACAAAATTTTCTTTAAAAAAAAAATAATAAGCAGGCACTTAGAAAAACCAATGCCAACAACTAACAATGTGCCCTTGCACAATTTAAGAACAACAAAACTAACCAAATACACAGATCAAGGTTTTAATTCCATTAAAAAAAGAGAAATTTTAGTTGCAAATTTCTTAGCACTAATGACTAAATTTCCACACAGAAGCAAAATTATTATACCATGTACATAGTTCATGGTATTATCTGTTTATCTTTTAATAAAAACCAACAAAACCAGCTGCCAATTTGAGACAAAAATAAAGGAATAATGTATTGCAAAACAAAACTGGAGGAAAACTAGATAATAATACAAGCAACCAAAAATTAATCAGATATTAGCAAATTTAACGAAGTAAGCATATTATTCTCGCTAAATAATTCATGCATTAAGTTTAAGTGTGCTAATAAATTCGTAATCGCCGAAACAGCAAAAATAATTCAGGAAAAAACCAGATGCCGGTTGAAGAGAGAGCGATGAACAATAATACATACTCTATCCGTTTCTACCAAATCGTTAGTCTAGAAACAGCCATGGAATAATAATAAATAGCACATACCTTCTTCTCCTCAGAAATTGGCAAGAACGGTTGTTTCTTTGCCGCAACGGCGGTGGGCGATATGGAGGTAAAATGGCGCCGTTTCCGGTCTGCCTCACCAGTGCTCCCCATCGAACCACAAACCCTAAACCTAACCACCAACCTTCCACTCACATCAAGGCGTACCACCGCACCAGAATCCGGTCCAATCTCAAGAAAAACAAAAACCTAATTCATCAGAACTCGGAGCTCACATTCGGCAATTGATTCGCAGAACCTGAATCTTGAATTCAAACACCAAAAACGCTCGGTTTCCGATGCTGCAAAACCCTAAGTTCTAGAATCCTTAATCGAGAAAGCTCTTTCAGTTACGAGTCCGGTGCAGTCTCACCGGAGTGTTTCCCTTTGACACGACGCGGTTGCGGAGGAGGAGTAGGCGAAAGGAAAGGAACAGTTCGTCGTCGGTGTATCACTAATTCAGTAATGACATGGAACTTGGAAATGGTGAATGTTTTAAGGGTACTTTGGTAATTGAGTGCCTGCTTGGAAGAATCAATCAATGGGGCGTAAGCGTGACGGGGATTTCACCCTTGAGAATAACAGGTGACGTCTGATTATATCCAAGTTATGATTGACGATCCCAGTGTTTCGGTTGACACAAGATTTTCTTTAAATCACTGAAATCCTATTGGGATGATATATGGACTCCGTCACCGGTGGCTTTTTTTTTTTTTTTTGGTAGACTTTCTACACACTACTCTATTGAGACTTTCGGGTGGCAGTTTCTGCTCACTCTAAGTATTTTTTTACATTAAAAAAAAAAAGCGTTGTTTTTTTACAGGAAAAAAAAAGAAAGAAAGAAAAACATTTTTTTTTTCTTAAAATGTACTTAAGGCTTGTTTGTTGGGCGTGGTTAAGACCACGCGCGCAAGTGTTAAGCCGCGAACCTTTTTTAATATTTGCTTTTAAAATATTGTTTTTATTTTTATTTTTTTTATATTGATTATATAACGAGAGATAATTTTTTTTTTATTTTTTATTTCTTATTTCATTCACATATCATATAACTTAAATTTAATATTTTTTATTTTCAGTAAAAAAATTATCACTAAATTAATTAAGTTATTGAAAAATATTGTTTTTATTTAATTTAATTGTTAAAAATAATATCAATTATTTTATAATTTGAGTAAAAAAATTTGATTTTTTTAATGAAATTTCAAGTTTAAATCTATTATTATATAAAAATAAGTACTAAAAAAAATTATTTAACACAACTTGATTATTAATTAATTAAAA